AAATAAAAAACAAAAAATAGGTAAAGTTGTTGCTATTCAGTTACTGACTATTCTATGATATGTTAACGTCAGTTACTGTAACATTTTAGAAATTCTTCAATAGTTCGTTTATCATTTTTATCCACCAAAATATAGTATTTTTAATTTTTTTTTTAAAATTTTTTCATCAAAATTTTTTTTTTCATAGATATTTTAGTGAAATATTGTTGTTGTAATAATAAAATGATTCCAGTTAGAAAGAGTAAAATAACTTTTCTACTTCATAATTTGATAATTGGTGTATGATATTTCCAAGGTATATTAACAAGCCATAAAACTGCATGAGATTCGATATTGATTTCACTGAAGATGGTAGATTAACGAAAAACGAAAGAGTCTGGAATAGTAACATTTTAAACAAATAGCGTATGCTCTTTTTTCATTTATATTTTTGTTTAGCTCAAGATAAAAATTTTATGATGTACATCTACTCGAATATTTTTTGATGTATGAAGAAATGAAGAAAATAATTTGCAAACAAAATACAAAAATAACTAGTTTCTCTTTTTTTTTTTTTTTTGAAAGCAGATAGATGAATACATCCATTTGTTATGTAAATTTTTTGTAAAACTTCATAGCAGAATTGTTTGTTTGTTATGTAGATCATCATTTGCAAAACTTTTAAATAAACATGGAAGAATTTATGCTGCTACTTGCTCCCAAAGTATACAAGGATGATACCTTCCCTTCTATTAGCTATACTTTTAAATTTCTTCGTGAATGTTTCGTGCGGTGAGTTCTTCACTTGAGAGATATTCCTCATTTTTGATTGCTTTCTTCAAAGAGCATAAATCTTTACGTTTTTGTTTCGTTGTGATCCTTTGTTTATGATTATTTGAAAGCGAATATTCAAATAGAATATGTTTTTCTTGTTTCAAGTTCATCTACTGCAGTTCGAAATTTTGTGTTTTCCTTTCCCATCTTTTTTTCCAGTTGTACTTTCATTTTATTGAAATTGGCTTCTAAGAATGGTACAATGATTATTTTTGTAATTAAAAAAAGTACCTTAATATATTTTCAGAAAAATGTAGAACCAATAACGATTGCGACAGTGGACGATGTGAATGGCGTCGCTGCGTTGGAAAATTAGGCAAAGTGATATCCGGTAGAATGGAAATTGAAAGTAAACGTTCATATTTTAATAATCATAACTGTTTGTTATTTTATGATAATTAAACCTGCAGAATATATCCTCATGTATGCATTTGTCGATTTACATTGAAAAAAGCACCTATAATATTGCAATAAAATTTACCAACTAGGGAAATGCTATAATTTGTAGCACATCCAATTTCTTTGTAAAATAAAATTGATTTTAATTGTTGATATAAAAATGATGTGCTTATTAAAGATTGTTACGTTGACGACGATTGTCCCACAAAGCAAGTATGTCGAGGTGGCTCATGTCAACAACGCCTTCCTTTGGTTAATGATTTGGCTAAACTTCGACCTGGTTGCTTATCATTATTATGCTTTTATAGTGTCAGATTTGTAGATAAGCTAGGTTTTTATGTTTACAAATTGGTAGTTCTGCTTGTGAAATGTGATAACTACGATTTTGCCAGCTTATCTGTTAAGTTAATTTTTCTTATAAAAATTAAAGTCTATGACTTGTCAGGATACTTACTTTTTTTGTATTTTGAAGGATTAATGTATGCTTATATAGGCACATCCATGTTACTAAATTTCATTTATTTTCGTAGTTTTTCCTGTTTTAAACTGCACATATTTATTCCACATTGCAATTGATTTCAAACACCTAACGCTAGCTATTGCAGTACTATGGTTTTTGGACAATAATTGGAATCTAACTTTAAAGTTATTTAGAAAGTAAATAACTTTGCATAATTGAGTAAAGTTATTCATTTTCAGATCATTGCTACACTGATGCAAATTGTCCACCTGGTTTCAAATGTGGTTATTATAAGAAGTGTTATAATATGTCTGATAGCAGATATGTAGTGGAATCGTTCACTCATATCCGTAATTTTTCCTGTTTTAAACTGAATTTTTGTTGGTAAAATATGTTTACAAATTATACAAACCAAGAAAACATTGCATGAATTAAGTCAAGAATTAAGCGTTGAGCCAGTGATAGTCTAACTAACACAATGAGTAATGAGTGCTATTTCTTGCTTACATCTGTTATTTTAGCATGCAGACATGAAGCAGCAGATTTTTGCGCGAAAGTAACAGGTTTTGAGAATGCCCAATGTCGTGAAATCGAATTCGAGTATGAAAAAATTCGCTCATATGTATGCCAGCTTCCACCACCGTTTGCACGTACTGAATTCAAATGTATGTTACACAGCCTTAAAATTGTTTTTTTATGATTGGGTTTATATTGAAAAAGGATGGGATTTGTTTGCTTACAATTATTACGTAGGCATTAAATGGATTTTTATCTAATATGAATTCTCACAAGTTGTTTTCTTTTGCAAATGATAAATTTTCAAGAAAAAAAAGGCAAACAAATGTTTAATTTCATATGAGAATTTATACTGGCGTAAAGAATATGACCAAATTAATTACAGCTTGTGATAAGAACAATGGTTGCTCACGATACAGCACATGCATAAGAGGAACTTGTTATCAGCCATTTTGGGTTACTGTTAGAGAACGTAAGCTTAAAGTTTTTTTTTGTGTTTTCTCAGAGAAGATAACTAATTGTCTAATTATACAATTATTTGATTTTTAATAGCTTGTTATTATAATTCAGGTTGTAAGAATGATAATGATTGTACTTTTCGTGCAAAGTGTGCCTCAGATGGTGGATGCAAGGAAGGAAAATGGTCACTGCATCATCGAAGTAAGTTTTTGTTGCTAAACCGATATTGCAGTTATTTTAGTCTAATTGTATATCTTCAAAATTACTAGCCATTTTTGACAAGATATAATAATACGATAATATTGCTTGAACATGTTTTCATGCGTAATATCAGCAAACATGCACTGAATACTTGTTTAAAGTGTTCGAGGTAATCTATTTCTTGTTTTAATTCCTTCTGGTCACTCTTTGAGTTTCTTGTATGATCAAAGATTCTTTAAACTAGTGAAAAAAATTCCGGAATAAACATGTTTCCCTTCTTATCATGTTTTCCGTCAGTCTCATTTTGATGAAACGAAGAGAGGTGGAGAAGAGGGTGACAAAATATATTTTCCAGCTTGTCGTGTATCCTTAGAGTGTGGCAATAGTCCTACAATGAAATTTGTATGTCGTAGATTTGAATGTACGTATCGGCGAAGTGTTCCATTTGGTAAGTATTAAATGTTATGAAGTTGGTAATTAAAACAATTAATTTTATCATCGACATTAAGATTGAGTCGTCATACTTCAACATAATCTTCACAGGATCATTTTATAAAAATGAGTTCTTTCGCGATATTTTGAATGTAACATAGAGCGTAAAGTATCAGCATCCAACACATTAGTCTGCATCAAAGCTTATTATCGTTTGTTACTGTTTAATTCATTCTGATTTAGTTATCAATTTTGAATATTATACTTCCTTCTTTATGTCATGACGTTACGTACGTTTATATTCCAATTCATTACACTTCAGTGATTTGCACTGCTGCTTAAAATGAAGACTGCAGCACTGCTTGCTTTAAAATCTTCTAACGGCAGATGATTTCCTCATTAATGCAAATTTCTTTCTCATCTAACTATGCTGGGAGGAGAACAATGGCTATGATACGTTATATGTCTATCCTTTCTTCAAAAAGGAAGAAAAAAATTTAAAGAAAGTAACCGTTGCACATTGTGAGTTGATTTCTTTCAGAATGTGATGCATGTCGGTTTGATGAATTCTGCGATTTGTATGAAAATTGTTTGCCAGTTCAGCGTTTCAGTGGTTAGGAATTTTGGATTATCTCTTTTTGTGAAATGAAAAGTTGATAGCACGATGAGAGAGTAGTATTATTTGAAGAAGTATTATCTGAAGAACCTCAAAAAATCCAGTATATCTGCTCAAGAGAACAATGAAATTTTCATGGAAAAATCTGTCTAAGGAGAGATTGATTATATGTTGATTAGGTTTTGTTTCACTGAACCTGTAGTTATTTCAAGTATCTCAAAACAGTTTGTTCAGTTTTTTTTTTACTCAGTTATGTTCAGATTTTTACTTAGTTAAGCTATCGGTTTATTCCTATTGCTTTAGTTTTACAGCATTAATTAAATCGTACTTCTTGATATAATTAGAATTATTTGAATTAACTAATTAGGTTGTTCTTTACAAGGCGAAATGTGCAAATAATGCATGAATTAAGGTGTATTATGATGATGATATCATTCTCAATGCATGATATTATTTTTGAAAATCTAAATTAGTTGAATACATTTTTTTTTTTCGTTTTCTTTTGTACTTTCATTAGAACAGAGTTTTCAGAATTCGATTGCGATGGTGATAACTGGTTTTATTGGTATAGCGCTTTCTACTGCTTGGTATGTCTATTCTGATATCATAGTGCAGAAGCTGACTGTTTTGAGGTATCACTTGAGGAGAGGAAACATTTTTGGATGGAATAAAAGATAAAGTGGTAATGCGAAATTTTACAAATTGTGAAATTATAGGTATGTTAAGAAGTAGTAACATTTATTTATCATTGTAAATCTTCCTTGTTTTCTAATTAATTAAATCTCAGTGGAACTTTTTATGAGATGAAACTACGCTATCATGTGAGTGTTTGAAATTACTTGTTAGGATTGTTGGTCATTTGATGTGTTTTTTGTTTATCATTAATCGGTTGACAAATGAGCATAAAGTGATTGAAACCATATCCATAAGTCTGCAGCACTAAATATTTCAATTTCTTCACAAAATCTTGAGCTTTTCTCTATTTTGGAAAGTCATCTAATTTTCTGTTGTATTCACGGCATACAGTTCTATGAGTGATATCAAATATTAATTAGAATTTAGAAAATCTAAAAAAAAAAGTTTCTTTTTAAGTCGACAAAAGAAATGACGTTCAATGATGCAATATCGGAGTGTACGGAATTAAAGGCAGAATTAGCTTATCCTCCAGACAGAGGGAATGAGACTACTCTGTCACCTGAAAGTGCTTTGTTGTCATGTAAGGATTACATCCTTATTAATTTAGTAAAGTGAATGGAACTGCCAATAGGCATGGTTTTTTTTTTTTTTTTTAAAAAAAATGGGAAAAGGTTAAAAATAACTGATATAAGGTCAGAAAAAAAGTGATATCATCAAGAGATTAAGAAGTGAACAGCATTCAGTCTTCTAAGTTTTTCCGATTAGCTAAATTTAAGTGAACTATCTTGCTTTCGGAAGGTTATATACTCCATGCAATAAGTAATTTATAACTTATGGACGAATGTCGTATGAATACCTTTTTTACATTTCAGTTCATCTCATCACATACTTTATTATCGATTTATTTATTATTATTACCATTGTTATTATTAATATTAACGATTTTCAGACCTGGCTGTACGCGGTGGTTGGGTTAAAGAAGGAACAGAAGAGGTCGAGGAAGTGTTTGTGAATTGGAATATTCCTGATCAAAGGGAGATTAAATCACGTTTTTTCTGCAAAATTAAGTATTATTTATGAATTAAAATGAGGCATACAATAATGATAATTATTAGGAATTGCTCTTTTCGAAAATGTTCAATTTGAGTAATTTGTTATGATGGATTGGTAACAGATGAATCATGGAGAGACATATTACCGAGATTTTACGCAAATTGGAAAACATTACTTCAGGAAAGACCAGGAGCAATCATTGAAAAAGAAATAGTGTTTGGCAAAACAAAGAAAGAAGAAAAAAAAAACTGTTCGATATGTATTGGAAAGGATAGAAAGATAGAAGAGAAGAAGTTGCATCGATTAATGGGACAATGTTGGTGATCTTCTATTTATTTTTTTCTCTTATTTCAGAAAAAGTGTCTCGGTCATCCGTTCCGAATAATGCCACTGCATACAGAGGTCAGTTCTTTGACTGTTAAATAGGGAGCATTTTTAACAGATGTTATTATTAGTTGTGTAAAAGATTTATTGAAAATATTGCTAATTTTTACACTTTGAATGAAATGCGGTTTTTGATTAGATATAATTATAGCTTAATTTAGATGAGTATAATTAGCTCAAAATTCAGTGATAAATATTGAATTAGGGTGGTCCCAAGAAACTTTTATTTCTTTCGTTCATTTTTATACTTTATTCTACAAACATTTTGAAATTCTTTGGAAGCACCTTTTTTCACATAAACTTATCCTTTTAATAGAAATATTGTGGATAGTTCTGCTGTTCAAGCAATGTTTTCTGTTCCTGCTTTCTACTACTGCAATTCAATTCTGCAAAATATCTGGTATTATTAAATTGTTTCTTTATCTGGTCATCATCTAGATGATTTTTGTTTTAGGTCAGAAATGTCAAACATCATTTGTTTATCGTCATGACTACTGCTATATCGCGGTTCGTTTTTATTTTTTTAATCATCTATTTAGCTACAATTTCGGCCTTATATCGTCATTTCGGGTTGGCATTAACCTTAGATTGTTTATCTCATCGAAAGTTCTTGAACATTCTGATATTATGCACGACAAGGTGTCATTATAGAGCAGAAAGATTTGCAAGGAGATTAATGCATGCAGCATACGTCATACTTAAGAATAGTTATATTATATATAATGCTAAACCTATTATCATTCAATATTTTTCTATGTCTATTTATAGAATGAATGAGTCTTAATTTGTCTGAAATAGTAGTAGGATTTGCAGACATACTAACATAGTACTGTTCCAGGGTTTTACTAACTTCATGCCTCGTTTTGCAATCCGAACAGTTTGCAATTTATTGGATAGTGAAATAGTCAAAATTAGGAATAAGGAGGAGGCACATACAGCTTATGGTAAGATTGAGCCAATATTTGTTATTGTTTCTTTAAAGAAATATGTGTTTTGAATTATATGAAAATTTATTTGAAAGTCATAATTGAGGGGAGAATTGTTAACTACTCGATAATAATCTATTTTTTTCATTATTGAAATTTTATAACTGACTGAACATTTTTATTGAAGGTTTGTTAGGCCTTAATAAAAATTTATTTATAGGACTTGCTGGTGGAAAGTCGTTCTGGCTTGGATTGAGAAGAGGTATAATTTTATTTCGGTGACTACGACTCTATAACATTTGATTGTAGAGTTTCCATAATTCATTATTCAGGATTTAGAGAAGCTTAATAAATTCATCAGTTTTAAAAAAAAAAAAACGGTAAATGTTGAGAATATAGCAAATCCTTTTTGCTTCTTAACTTACGATTTTCTCTTCTATTTGACTGCTTGTTATTTTTAATACATTGCATGGAATTGTAGATGAGAGTTCGTGGCTAAAATATCACCTTAGGATCAGTTGGATTTATTTCATATAAACTTCGAGATTAAAGTTGGTAGCATATTCCTGCAGGAAAGAGGGATTGGTATTGGGATACTAGTACCTATGGAACTCGAGCACATTTTTTCTTTTGGCGTACAGGACAACCGGATATAACAGACAACAAAAATTGTGTTTACGCAGCTTACGCAGGAGAGTGGATGACTGCTGACTGTGATAACTTCCGCTCACCAAAAATGTTTGTATGTCAGAGTGAGTTTTGTAAACCCACATTGAAATTTTTAATCAGTCGCTTTCCTGGGTTACTCGGAAAAAAAAAGTTTTTTTGCGAAAAACTTTACTGGTAAAAAATTTTTCTGGGTATCCATTTTGATTTCAACTAATCACAAAATCATGGGTATGCATATTATTCACTTAATTAAATGCTTAAACAAATATTTTAGTGATCATTTTAGCTTTCATTGTAAAAAAGCATCCGGAGTAACTGTAACACTTCTGTTATCCTTTTTAGTCGCTTTCTAGGTCAATATTTCAAATTTGTATTATACTTTTATTCGGATGATTTTTTCTATTTTAGGCCCTTCATACAAGAACTAGAAGAAAGAAGTTATATGGAATCATTGAGATGATTTGTCTCGTTACAAGCGCATCCTGTTCATAGATTTCATTTGTATCTTGAACGTCTTAATGTTGGTGTGTATTATTTTTTCTATGGGCATCAAAAAGATAGTTTCAAAGAAAAGAAGGTAATCGTCTTATGTCCATTAAGGAATTTTTCTAGAATTGACAGAGTAACGGTGATCGATGTGAAACTATAGTTCTAGTAACTTTTCACTATCACATTTTATATCATTTTTGAGCAGAAGTTTTGCGAATGTATAGGCAATATATTTGAGAAACAAGAAAACATCGGTTGCTCTATAGAGTTGAGGAAACACTCTGTATTATTTATTTTTTCCAATTAGTCAAAGATATTCAGACTCCATATGTGTCTTAAATGATGCAACTTTCATGTAAATGATTTTTGCTTGGGATCATAATGGTAGTAGTGAAATAGTGTAATGCATTTGCAAGATTGTTCTGTCTCTTTTTAATTGAATAAATATAAATGAGAATACAGAAATAGTTTGTAGCTGTTATGAAATAATAACCGCCACAACAATTAGTAATGGAAATTCGATTATTTCATTAGTGCTGAAGAATAATTTTTAGCAGACGAGTTTTTGTCACATCAGATGAATTTTTGTCATGGTATGGGAGTCTTGTTGGTCTGCTATATCATACATGAGCCTTACACTATCACTTCTTAAGCTACAAATGATCTCATCTAGTTGCGATGAAATCGTTTGTGAATTTATCTGAAAGCTATCAAAAAAAAAAAAAAAAAAAAAAAGAAATGATGGAATTAATAATGGAAATTCGATTATTTCATTAGAGCTGAAGGATAATTTTTAGAAAGCTATCAAAAAAAGGAAAAAAAAAAGAAACTGGGCAAGTAAAATTCTTCCTCAGAATATTGAATCATAATGTTGCTCCATAATATTTTGTGCTTGCAGAAATAGAAATTTGGGAGGGCAAAAATAGAAATTCGTTGATAAGTGCGAGTGACAGACATACTTAGGAAAATGTGGTAAAAATAGAAATTCGCTAGGAAGTGCGCGCGGTAAAAGCGAATTCGAAAGCGAGAACGCGGCAAAAATATTTGAACTTGGAAAATTAGTTTGCGATTCTTTTAGATGAGCTTTCCATTGTTATATGGAGTATTAATTTTATACGCATATCGTTAAAAAACACAATTGCTATTATTTTTGGAAATTTTTTCTTAACTAAAACACTCACCATTCAACGTCTCCTGTCGATCTCACAGCTATGTAAGCAGTCAAAATTTATAAAGTCACATTAAAAAACTTTTAAAATCACAGATGTCCAGTAGAATGCATATTAGCAAGCATAACAGAAGCCTAATAACTAAACATAGTCCTATGTGTAGTCCAAAAATTATATACGTGGTGAAATTGTGTCACTATTAACATTTTATTAACTTCAACAATTTCAAACAATTATAGCAGAATTTTTAATCAAAACAGAAATCAAACAGAATTAATATATTAATAACTAACGATGAAAAGTGGTAATACATAATTACTGCAAAATGATTCAAATGAATTGGTATCACAACAATAAGAAATTGCTAATTCTGTTAATAGCAATTAAAAACAATAAATGGCTGATTAACTTGAATCAATGCATTTTTATTAAACAACATACCTCAAAAAAAACGATTCGTTGGAAATAACCAAATGATATTCAGGCATGTAATCGAAACAAAAAGATTCTTAATACAACCATAACTTAATAATAAATAAAAAAAGGATACATAAGAACTGTGGACGTGAAGATAGTGGCAACCAGCATAGTATGACGACTGATATCAGATTGGGATGTGCTAGAGATCGAGAGATATTCCCTGTGAAGGGCAATTGGGTTGAATGCATACACCGGGTTTTCGTGCAAATTAAGTAAGATAAGATATTTGCATATATTCTCCGAGCGCGAGATGGTATTACTTCAGTAGGAAATGTTTTAAATGATTCTCATAAATGATTTTTTCAACTTTTTTTTCTTCTTAAATTGGAACTGGGTTAAAAAAAAAATTGTAGGGTATTTGATGACTTAAAAAAGATGAAATTGTGCGAAATTTTCCAAAATATAATCGAGAAATTAATTTCAGGAAAAATATCAATTTTTGTCAATTTTTTAACCTGATTTTTTGAATTATCGAATTAGAAAATAGTGGTATCATTGAATAATTTGATAATGTCTAGGTTTAATTTTTTTTGTTGAATTGCCATTTGGTATCCAATAAGTTATTTTGTGGTAGAAGAGATCGAGATATAGATAGAGTTATACCTACCCTCGATGTAACTTATGAGTTAGTATGTGAGGAAAATTTTAGAGCATTTGAAATTCTGAAAGAAATTTTAAATTCTTAAATCGTGAAGCTTTTTGAATTGGCTTTTAAATTCTAGATATCTTTTATTACTAATTGAATAATTTTAAAATTGGAAGAGTCTGAGATTTTTAAGAAATTTTGAAACTTCTCTAGGGATTTATTTTTTGTTCTCGTTGAGTTTTGAAAATTTCTGAGTTATTTAAATTTTAGTTTTTTTCTGATTTTTTAAATTTTTAAAAATTTGTGGGTTTTTATATTCTTTTTCATTTTCCTAATTTGCTATTCCCTTTTCAACTTTTTAATTTTTGAATTATCTTGAAAATTATTGAAATTAATCTGAATTATCGACTTTTGGGAGGTTTATTTAAAGGTTGAATTATTTGTTTTAATTTTGATTTTTTTTTTTATCTTTTATATTTTTTATTTTTTTAAATTTCTTACTGGAATTGTTTTTGAATTTTTAGATCTTTAAATATAATTTTGGATTTATTATTAAAAAGCATGCTGCATTTTTTTAGTTTTAACTAGTAACATATTTTTTTATAAATTTTATTGTAGTTTTAGATGCCTCCGTTCATTTTTTATAGGTTTTGTTTTAGTTTTTTTTTACCTTCTTTTCGCATTTATTCCTCATTTGTTCTTAATGCATGCTTTTCGCTAACTTTTTACTGTATAATATTTTATATTTTACTAAGATAGTGATTTACACTTGTTGTAGTTTTACTAATTGCATGCTTTTTTAGTTAATTAAAATTATGTAATAGTATCTTACTAGCTTATATTAATAATTTCTTTTTTTGTTGTTGTATTAACTGTATGATTTTTTGTTAATTTTACTACCTCCAACAACAATAATCTTCAAATGCTTTTTTGTTCTTGCATGCTTTTTTTATTAATTTCGTTTTTGCTTGAATTTGACTAACTTTACTCACTTCATGCTGCTTTTTATTGATTTTGATCACCTTTTTTTTAGCTACTTAGTCCACTATTGTTAATATTAATGCTTTTTCATTTATTTTTTAAGATTCCATCTCCATTTGTTTTCTGTTAACTTTACTATTTATTAATTGCATGTTCTTTTGCTAGCTTTAATGTTTATTAATTCCGTGCTTTTTTATTTATTTTATTTTTGCATGAATTTTGGCTAACTTTACTTACTGCATGCTTTCTGTTAACTTTACTATTTATTAATTGCATGCTTTTTGTTAATTTTAATGTTTATTAAACTGCATGCTTATTCACTTTGATTACCTTTTTTATACTTTGCATGCTTTTTGTTAATTTCAATGTTTATTAAACTGCATGCTTATTCACTTTGATTACCTTTTTTTTACTTTGCATCCTTTTTTATTTATTTTATTTTTGCATGAATTTTGGCTAACTTTACTTACTGCATGCTTTCTGTTAACTTTACTATTTATTAATTGCATGCTTTTTTGTTAATTTTAATGTTTATTAACTGCATGCTTATTCACTTTGATTGCTTATTCACTTTGATTACCTTTTTTTTTTACTTTGCATGCTTTTTTATTTATTTTATTTTTGCATGAATTTTGGCTAACTTTATTTACTGCATGCTTTCTGTTAACTTTACTATTTATTAATTGCATGCTTTTTTGTTAATTTTAATGTTATTAACTGCATGCTTATTCACTTTGATTACCCTTTTTTTTTTACTTTGCATGCTTTTTGTTAATTTTAATGTTTATTGACTGCATGCTTATTCACTTTGATTACCTTTTTTTTTACTTTGCATGCTTTTTTATTAATTTTATTTTTGCATGAATTTTGGCTAACTTTACTCACTGCATGCTTCTTATCCACTTTGATGACCTTTTTTTTTAACTATTTAGTTCATTTTTGTTAATATTAAAGCATGCTTTTTTGTTAACTTTGATCACTTTCTTTCCAACTACTTAGTTCGTTTTTGTTAATATTAATGCATGCATTTTTTTTAGACTACTTCTACATTTACTTTCACTTATTGCATGCTTTCTCTTAACTTTACCACTTATTAATTGCATGCTTTTTTATTTATAGCTGATATTATCAATTCGACTAGTTGTTTGCAGTATGGAATTCGTTATCAGTATTTATGGAAGTATATGTTATCGTCAGAGTTTATTGTGCAGTATCCGAACTTGCTAAAAGAGATTTGGTAAATTTATTTATTAGCAATTATTAATGAAAGTAAATTTTGATTTTAAAAAATAATAAAAAAAGCAAAATTACTAGTAGTAAGAATTTTAAAAAATTGAACTTAAATATGAAATTGAACTTTTTAAACCTTAGCATTGACTTGAAGACATTAGCAGTCCTCAAAAGAGGTACACACTAATTAAGTGGAACGAAGTGAATTAAAATTGGTTAATTATTGAAATGCTGATTTTAATTAATTGAATCCACGATAAATTTCAGTGAAGCAAATTGCATAATGAAACATAGTGATGTTGTTTGGTGAACCAGTAGTGCTCCTCAACGTCAACAAAAGTAAATTAGGTTAAAAGAATATTTAAATTATTAGTGATTATTCCATTTAAAACTTCACTAATGATCGTATTTATTAATTGCTTGAAATGAATTAATGTTAATTGGTTTAACTTAAGAAATGTGAAATAAATCATTCCAATCGAATCATGTGAGATACGTAGTTTGACTTTTAGATTTTATATCTAT